AAAGAAATTCAGTGGGTAGACAACAGAATGAACATTGCTAAAGGGTAAACTGCTAATCTGTGAAATAAGCTGTGTAAATATTGTAGAATGTAAGGGAAAAATAAAAGGAGTTCTAAAAGCAGAGGAGAGACACAACAGAGGAAAAATATAATTGAAGAAAAAATGAAAGAAAATCTTACAGAACAAAAGATAGGTGATTTTCAAATAAGTTATGACTAAGAATTCTTGTAACATTTCAGAACATTAATAATAAAAGGAAAATCCTAAAAACTTTTGGAGCTAAAAACCACCACCAAAAACCTAAAACTCCAAAACACACATAATTAAAGAAAACCAACAGGTTGTCTACAGTGTAATAAGAGCAATAAGGCTATCAGAAAACCCAGTTGCGCAAATACAGGAATGTAGGAATACGGGCACAGAGGTTTAGTATCAGCAGAGATTTCTGTACCTCTCTACTGCTGGCTCCACCAGATTTCAAGGAGCTAGCAGCTAACTGTTAACAGTGAAAAATGAAAAACACAAATATTTACCATCTATGCATTCATATGAAAAAGAATTACTCTAGGCACTATTCTAGCAAAATGAAAAAAAAAAAAACCTATGAGAAACAGAAAGATGAGATTTAAGAACAAGAGGTTAAAGCTAAGAGGGAACAAATAAAGTTTAAAAAAATAATGAAAAGAAAACTCACTGGAACTTGAGTTTTGGAGATTCTCCTTCATGACAGAGTTTTAGTGACATATAATTACAGCTCTTATTTTTTTAGTAACCCTGTTAGTTTTGCGGGGGAGGAGACAGTGTCTCACGCTGTCACCTGGGCTAGAGTGTGGGGGCATAAGCATAGCTCACTGCAATCTCAAACTCCTGGACTCAAGTGATCCTCCTGCCTCAGCCTCCCTGGTAGCTAGGATAGCAGGCACATGCACCATACCCAGCTGATTTTTTCTTTTTTTGTAGAGACAGGGTCTTACTATGTTGCCCAAGGTAGTCTCAAATTTCTGGCCTTAACTGATCCTCCTCTCCTGCCCTGGCCTCTCAAAGTACAAGCCATCCCATCTGGCTCAGTTCAGTAATTAAGAATATTTACAAAATATTCAATATTAATTACTGAATCAGCATTTCATGTACTGTAGATGCTGTGTCTATGAAATTTGACATTTGGGATTTATTTATGCCAAAGAGAAAGTGTGCCATATTTCATTTCTTAGTTTCTCTGGAATGATTACTATTTTAAAAATTCTTTAAAAATACTTGTATCTTCTGGCAGTACCTGTGGCTCAAAGGAGTAGGGCGCCGGCCCAATATACAGGAGGTGGTGGGTTCAAAC